AAAAAGGCTGAGTTTATGCTTATCGGTCATCCACGTAGAATAAATAAAATTGAAGCTCTAGCTCTTCTGAAACTTAATGGCACAGAAATAAACGAGTGAAAAAGCTTAATCTCTAAGTATTTTTGCTGTGAACGAGAATCTCAACTGGAAGGAACAATTTTTGAATCTTTGAAAGGAAAAGTAGCAAGTGGTCTGTCTGCATTGAAAAAACTGAAGCACAATCTTCCAAAATCTAAACTATGTGAGGTTAATCATGCGCTGGTTGAAAGTCACCTTCGATATACAGGGGCGAAACTACTGGGGGGGGTATGGGGGGTGCTGCACCCCCCCCAATCTTCAAAAAAGCAGATTTTGTCGGGCAAATTTATGGCTGCCAGTGTATCTGTCGGGCAAATCTGGAAAGTTTCTTTAGATCGCACTTTTATTGCTACTTTTTGCCCTAGCTTGGTTTTTCCCCCATCTTTTTTTCAATCTCCTCCCAGTTGGGAAAACAAAACAGAAACGAGGCTAGAAACAGTAACATATATTTATACATTTCTGTCTTTTGTCCACTGATCAGCGCTTTCGTCTCGAGCTCGACAGGCACATGTTTATCTTCGCCTCGAGATGAAGTCTGAAGTATTGATCAACAGCGAAAGTATAGACGGAAAGTAAAGTGTGTTTGATGCGAGAAGAAAATGAACACTGTGCATACCCATTCCCCCTACTTTTTGCAAAACAAGAGAGCTTTTTACAAAATCTTTGTTTGTGATTTCTAAATGTTCCCTTGACAAGCCCCCGCCCCGCCCCCCCCCGCCTGTGTTTTGGTGTTCCACTTTGATGAAATTGAGACCCCACTTCAATCCCCTTTTTTGAATTGCTCTTTTAATAGCTAGGTGATTTAGAAAGTGAAGACCTTACAAATGCTTGCTTTTCGGAAACAAATGTTTATAGCCACCAGAAAAACTAGAGGCATATTTCTTGACTTTAAACAAACAGCCTGAGTCTAAACTCTCTCGGACTTCCCGATGATTTCAGCCCTTGAGGCGATGTGCTCTAAAAATTAAGTTCATGTATGACACGCCCTTTCATCAAGCATGCCACGCCCTTTTTTTCGGGCATCTAAGCTTCATACCCCCCTAATGAAAATAGTGCAGTTTCGCCCCTGCGGCGATATAGGAATGTTGTCTGGGGTAGCCTGTCAAACACGAAGCTACAAACGCTTCAGCATCTACTAGTGTAGAAGATAAGCAGAATGATTGCGCAAATCGCGACGAAAGCATTAAAATTTGTACAAACATACAATTTGACATGCTGAAAAATGTTACGACACAGAGTTCCCCTATGGACAATATCACGTGACAATTGCATCATTGTGCTGTGACTGCATCAGCGTCTATAAATATGTTTTTTGCATTAAGTAATTATTACTTCAAGGTTCTGCTAAGAGTATATAAAGGGTTGTTTCATACGTTAGGTTTAGTCTTGTCGAGACTTTTGTCGTACTGATAGAAGCTCTGTCGCTAGCTTGTCGTGCCTGTTAAAGTCGTGCCGTTATTTGTCGAACTTGTTGTTTTCAGTCGTTAGTCGAATCATTGCCGCAAAAAGAAGAATTTTGATTTTATCCGCTGTTGCCGTATTTTTTAGCATTTCTGCCTACAACGAACTCACGTTGGTAAAACCCACATTTAAGTGGTTTTACAAAAAGATGGGATCGGGACCCAGTCTGAGAAATACCCTTGAGAGCTATTTTTAGAATGAATTTCATTGTTCCCAGATTTTGAAATTATTACCTCTTTAACTTTGTTGAAAATGAAACATCATATCAAACTGTGTAGTTGTGCAGATTTTCATGATTTTATCACAATTTGCGCAAGATCGTCGTTTCAGAGGCCTTGGCTACTACTGGAACGTTTTAGGATTTGTAGATTCTGTTGCGTGTTAATGTCACATGTTTGTTTGTCACGCTGTTGTGTTAGTAACTCCCTTTCCGGGAAATGTGCGTCACTGTCATCGTGTTATGTGATGTTTCACAGTGTTCCTTTGTTTGTGTTCAATATAATGTAATCCAAGTTAGAATAGAGATAACATCAAAGAAGTAGTATCTCTTGTGTGCTATCTATTTGGGGCTTGGGCCCGTTGGCCTAGCCCATCGCTCCTCTAACGAGCTTGGTTATTAACTGGTTCTTCACTTCACTGTCATAACAAGAACCCTTATCGTTACAACACTATACAACAGGATAGGACATTCTCAATTATTGAAAATGCCAAACGAAAGGACCCCTTGACCAGTATTTGGCTAAGGCCTGGTTCAAACGTCGCACTTCTCATGTGCCGAACCTAACTCTGTTTGGAGCGACACTTGAGCATGTTTAGCGCGACTCCCGTTTCAAACGTCGAACTTAATTATGTCGCACCAAATGGGTTTTAGGATTGTTACATGAAGTATCTTGGTTAAGGCGCGCAATCTCAAATATTTGTTTGAAACGCATGCGCCCTCCAAGAAAGAAATGAATTCTGGGAAGGAAAATAAATTAAATATAATTATGCATTGAGTTCGGTACATGACAAGTTCGACGCTTGAAACCGTGCCGTGCTGGAGCCGTGCAGCTCGGCAAGCTCTGCCGATCCAAACTAGTCTGCCGCTCCTAACTAAATCTGCCGTACCAAATTGATTCAAACGTCGCGCCCCTCATGTACTTAATTATCGAGTTAGGTTCAGCACATGAGAAGCGCGACGTTTGAACCAGGCCTAAGCGTTGATCAGATCATCTCTTTTGATAGATCTATCATCACACACAAAATAGTTAATAAGCAGTGCCCTGAGAGCCTCTGGAACAAGTATAATCAGAGGACTGAAATTTCTAGTGATAGCACAAGAAACAATAGAAATCTCGACACCCCATAATTTAAGCTTGAGAGTACAAAAAAGGAACGAAATACCCATAGAACTAAGGGAGATCCCCTCGCTCTATAAATTAAAACGAAAATTAAAACGAAAATTAAAAGCTCATTTGAAGGGCTCAGGAAACCTCAGACGTCAAATTCAATTCATTCATATTATTAAATAAATTTTAAATTTTTGCCTTTCATTATTAGTTTTTATAGCTTATCATAACTTGTACTTAGTTTTCCACTGGGATATCGTGTTGAAAAAAGAATTTTAAAAAATTAAGAAGTAAATTCTCCTTCTTTTCCTTGTTCCCTTCTCCCTTTCTCTCTTTTCTTTCCTGGAAAATTGAACACTTTAGTTACCTTCCTGGCTCGACCACGCGGTTCTTCGAATTCATTATTTATCATCATTACAATGCTGCACAGCGGCGATCCTCTGTGGTCATCATACTTTGCGATTATCACCTGCCAACACAAAGGGCTGCTGGCGACTATTGTTATCAACGATCGTAAATCAGCCAGTAACTCCCCTGACCTTTGTTTTTGCCCTATCAACCGTAACACCGTATGGTTTGGTCAACAGAAAAACTTCGCAAAGCAGGTGTTTTTACAGCGACGTGGTTTTCAAATCAACCTCGGTTTTCAAAGTTTTCAGTGTTCAGCGTTACAATTTAACGAGAAACCAATGAGTTCAGAAAATAACAAGGATCATACTGTCAGCAACAGTGGGGGAAACGCAGGACAATACATGCCTCAGGTTTTTATGTGAGTATTAACGCGAGTCTTGTGTTTGGCACTGTTGTGAGTAGCGTCCTAGTTAATTGGGTTTCTTGCTGTTTATTACCTTTGTCGATAAAAAATCAAGAAGCATCTGTTTCAACATAGTTTAACTCATATGAATAACAATGGTAATAAAACAAGGTTAATTTCATTTATGTGGGGCAAATAACTTTATTCAAAGTTCCAAAGTTGCGCATCTCAGTTCAAGAAACCATAGCTTACTACGACCTCATTGTTTGATTTATTCAGCACTGATCCTAAACTCAAGGGGCTAGCAATGTAAAGCAAGCCTCCTCTTGCCCTCTCTAGCCTCACTGGCCAAACTTTTGCTGACGCTATTTTAGTTTTGGACTTTGGTCCAATGCAGGGCCAACAAATGACGGGGGAGGGGTCAGGAGGTCATGGTCCCCAAAATTTTTGCAAAACAATAGAGCTTTTTTCAAACCATTTGTTATGGGTTTTCAATTTCCCTTTTCGGAGGGGGGGGGGGCATGGTCCCCAAAGCTTTTTCAGGACAAAAGAGTTTTTTTAAAACTTTTTCTTGTGGGTCTTCAATTTTCCCTTGTCGGGGGCCAT